AAAGACAGCCTCATTAACAAAAGCTTCTGGGTTAATTCATAGGTAGAAGAATAAAACTAGACTCCCATTTTTTTTTTGTTCTGGACAAAAGTTAACTGAAAATGATCAAAACCCTAGATATAAGTCTTGAAATTTTGAAATTTGTGATAAAAACCATCCGTTTTTTGAAAATAGCAGGTAATGTTTGGAATTATCACTCTGTGATCTAAGCACCTACACTGAGGACAGCAATGTGCAATACAAAACCCATAGTTGAATAACTCTCATCTTGGTCTTCTAAATGTGTACCACTTCTAATGTCTTATATATTATTATACTCTTTAAAATAAATTTCTTAAAAAAGTAATACAGACAAGAAAAATTTAAGGCTTATTGAAAGCATTATTATTCAACTACATGTCCAATCTTGTATATCTGTTAATCTGAGCAACAGATTCGATGATAAAAATAGATAATATAACAACCATTGTTAATTTGCTGTTCTTGATGTGAAAATCTATAACATATGTATTGTTGTATATTACCTTATTTCTGTCTTTGTTTCTGCTATTATTTTTTACTCTTCAAAATAAAATAAAAGTTAGAAAAGCAACATAGGGAAAACATTTCAGGATACAGGAATAGGCATGATTTCCTGAATAGTACTCCAATAGCATAAGAAGCCATAACAAAATCTAACAAATGGGACTGCATCAAATCAAAATGCTTATGCCAACAAAACAAAGAAGAAATGAAGAGATACCCTACAAAATGAGGGAAAAATCTTTGCTCATTGCTCTTCTCACAAAGGACAAACAGAATATGTAATCAACTAAAAAAAAGTAACTTCAAATGGATATCAAAAACAGGCAAACTAGACTCAGGCCTCTAAAGAAAAGAACTATTAAAAAAAAAATCCTAAAATTCATATCAAAACATGTAAGATCCAGGGGCTGGGGAGATGGCTCAGTGGAACAAGCTCTTCCCTAGCAAGCACAGGGGCCTGAGTTCAATTCCCCGTTCTGAAAAAAAAAAAAAAAAAAAAGTAAGATCCAGGACAATGAAAGCAATTCTAAGCAAAAAGCAATGCTGGAGGGCTGGCCAGATAGCTCAGCAGACTAAAGTGCCTGCTTAGGCAGAGTGTAGAGTTCATCCCTGGCCTGCCCTGCAGGACCTGCCCCCAGGGTGCACTGAGATTGTGACTGGGCATGGTGGCACATGCCTGTAATCCCAGCTTGTAGGAGGCTGAAAACAGGAGAATAACTACGAGTCCGTTCAATGTTGTGAGACCCTGTAAACCCTGTACTAAAATACATAAAAAATTAATTAATTAAAAAAAAAAGCAATGCTGGAGACATTACAACACCTTACTTTAAATTACAATACAAAGTCATAGTAAAATCAGCATGCTACTGGCACAAAAATAGAAACACAGACCAATGAAACAGAATAAAGGACACCAAAACTCAAAGCCAAACAACTATAGCTAGGTGATTATGACAAAGGAGCTAAAACACAAATGGAAAACAGCAAGTCTTTTTAATGTATAATGCTAGGAAAAATAGACATACACTTACAGAAGACTAAAACTCATTACAGAAGACTAAAATTCATTCAAAATGGATCAAACACCTGGGTATAACATCTGAAACTGAAATTGCCAAAAGAAACCATAGAAGAAACACTTGAAGCCACAGGCACTGGCAGTGTTCCTAAAAAGAAACTAAATTGCACAGGATATAGCAAGATTGAACAGGTAAGACATCAAATTAAGAACTTTCTGAGTGAGGAGATAAGCCATAGCAAGAGGAAAATCCTTAACACTCTTTCAACAGATTAGTAACTAGAATAAGAAAATAACTAAAATATATAAAGAACCCAAAAAATTTAATACAAAAATATTAAACAGCCCCACCAATAAATGGGCAAAGGAACTGACACTTCTCAGAAGTACAAATAAATGGTCAATAAGAATATGAAGAAACATTCAATATCTTTAGCCATTAAAGAAATGGAAATCAAAACTACACTGAGATTCCACCTCATCCTACTCAGAATGGCAATCAAGAATACAAAAAAACAGTACATGTTGGTCGTGATATAGAGAAATAAGGAATGCCCTATCAGTGCTGGCAAACCTATGGGATGTGTGTATCACTGAAAGCTCTGAAAGGTTCTCTACCACATTTTTTTTCGGAACTGGGGATTGAACTCAGGCCCTTGCACTTGTCAGGCAAGTACTTATTCTACTGAGCCATCTCCTCTGCCCCCTCCCTATCACTTTTACAGAGGTATTTATTTTCATTACTGTGAACATTATGAATTACTGTGGCACAATTCACAATAGAAACGATACCTGAATGAATAAAGGAAATATGCTATGCAAATATATTTATCTTTCACCCATAAAGAACAAACATCCCCCTTAAATAATCAATTACAAAATGGATAAACAATCCGAAACGACATTTTTGAAAAAAATACAAATGACCAACAGATATAAAAAAGGCTCAATTATTACCAATCATCAGGAATATGTAAATCAAAACCACTGCAAAAATATAAAGTAATTAGTAGGAAGATAAATCCTTCTCCGATGGGAAAAAGATCAAGAAATGGAAGATGTGGGGAAGGAGATAAAAAAGGAATTAAGATTAGAGGGCTGGGGAAATAGCTCAATGGCCTAAACATCTGCCTGGCAAGTGCAATGACCCAGGTTTGATCCCTGGTACTGCATGCTGTGCAAGCACCAGAACCCTGGGCACACTGTGCTGTCCACTGAAACAGGGTGTGGTAGCACATGCCTGTAATCCTAGCTCTGGGAAGGCTGAGACAGGAGTATCACTGTGAGTCCAAGTTGCATAATGAGACCCTGTAACTAACAAATAAATAATTTTTAAAAATTAAAAAAAGAAAAGACATATTAGGTACATGTGCCAACTCTACAAGAAGAATGTAACCAGTACTGCTTCAAACATGTACTGATAAAAAAATTAATAAATTTTAAAAAACCAGTAAGACATAGTATCCTAGCTACTATTAAAGAGATAAAAGATCACTAATGTTGGGAAAGACTGAATAAAGGAAACTTTCATTTATTCTTGTTAAGTATACATGTACATTAGCATAGTCACTACAGCATGGAGAGTCTCCAAAAAAAAAAAAAATATGATAATTTCAGCAATCCCACTCTGGCTATATCTAAAGGAAAGGAAATCATTATGTCACAGAGGTATCTGCACTCTTGTATTTACTGCAGCGCCATTCACAATAGCTAAGAAGTCAAACAATGTGTCCATCAACACATGAATGGATAAGAAAATGTGGTATGTGTACTCAATGCAATGTTATTCTACCATAAAAGAAATAAAATTGTCATCTGTAGTAACATGGATGAGCTCAGAGTACACTGTGTAACATAAAATAAGCTAGACACAGAAAGGTAAGTACTAAAGGCTGTCTCTTGTATATGGAAGCTAAAGAAGTCAATCACATACAAGCAAAAACTGCAACAGTGTTTAGCTAAAGTGGGAAAGACAAGGTAGTGGAAGAAAAGAGCATTTCACTGGTAGAACATTTCAGTTAAATAGAAGGAATAAATTCTAGTGCCCTATAGTACAACAGAATAAGTTATTGCATATTTCAAAATAGCTAGAGACAGGATTTTAAATCTCACCAAAAAGAAATGAAAAATGACTGAAATGACAGGTATGTTAATTACCATTTTGTGGGGGGGTATTTTTGTGGTACCAGGGATTGAACTCAGGCCCTTGTGCTTGCCAGGCAAGCACTTATTCTACTGAGCCATCTCCCCGGCCTTAATCATCGTTTTGATCACTAGACACTGTGTATACTTTATTAAAACATCACATTGCACTATAAAAAGCACAAAGAATGTAAAATTATGTGTAAATTTAAATGAGAAAAATTTCAACAGATCTTAAAAATGAAAACACAAGTTCTAAAATATTATTTCACCTGGATAAAAAACTAAGACACTGATGAAAAAAAAGAATAAATGTCTGGAACATGAAATTAGGATTTGTCTTGAAATGAAACAGAAATAAAGAAAGGACTGAGAGGAAAGTTAAAAATGAGATGAACCAAAAAATTCTAATATTTGTCTTCTAGGAAAGGAAGAAGACAGGTATGATATCTAAATAAATAACGTCAAAGTATCCAAAAAATAAAATGCCAAAGACCCCAAAAATAAAATGCCAAAGACTGCCAAAAAATATTTTAAAGCCCAGATATATCATATAAAACTTCTGAATATGAAGAATTTTAAACATTCATCTCTTGTGAAATTTTTCTGAGTTCCAAATCAGTCATTCCTTTTTCTGTTTCCTGGAGCTTTTCACTACCCATCAAATTAATAACACCTATCACAGAAGTGCTATTCCATGTTAAGTATCATTTGTCAGTTCAAATATTTCTCCCAGAATAGAATGAATTTATAGAATAAGTCCTTATCTCACTCATTTTAAAATTCCCAGCATCTATTATTACAATGTCTATTATAAGGCAGTGATCATTAATAGGCTGCAAAATAAAAAAAAGTTTACAAAAAGTTTAAGATGAAATTCATCGGCCATAAAAGAATAAGCTATAATTTTCCAAGTTAAAATGTACTTCATATCTGAGACTGTGTGCTTTTCTGCATTTCTTAAATGCAAAATATTATGCATTTAAATACGTTAAATATGTCTGATTTATTTCTAAGTAAAACACTGGAAAGCACTGGCCATCTAGGAAATTTCTTATAGCTTAAGCATAGCTAGGATGTTCAAAATCACTTTACTTCGAGCTGGAAGCTTTTGTTTTTGAAATTGTACACAATATGTCACTGTATATGTCTGAAGGGTTTTAAGGTATTAAAAGTTTGTTTTATCAAACATTATACTTTTTAAAGAAAATAACTGGATGATAAAATAAATTTTAACATGTACTTTAAAAATAATAAAGTATGACACCCCATTGATTACTATAAACAATCTTAAATTTTACAAAATGATATTTACCTGTAGTTATGACTGCCACAAAGGCACTGATAAATACAAGCAGAAAGTGAGGCTGCTAATGTGTGCATTACATATACCTAGAAAAAAAAAGATTAAGAATAAATTTTTTAATTATATATATTTTTCAAGATCTAAAATGATTGTCACTTTTCAAGTGAAAAACCTTTGATTGGGTAAAATTTTTTTCTTTTTAAGAAAAATGCTCATTTCATTCAACCCACAGCCCAGGCCCCACTTAAGTGAGACCGCCTGGGGCTCAATGGATACTCATTCAACCCAGAACCCAGGCCTGCAAGTTAGTAGAACTTCCTCCAACACACAGGCTGAGTGTGAAACCCTGGGGCAGAACTCCCTGCAAAAAGGCTAGAGGCAATACCCACCCAGCTGATTCAGGAGTAGAACATCTTGCTAGAGTAGCACAGCAGATTCACATCCAAGGGCTGTAGCAGGAAGAAGTGGAGCACAGCAGCCAAACCCAAGCCATGCCCACCTGGACAAGTTTAAACTTAGTAGATCTGGACCTGGTGCTAAGGTAATAACTCTAAGTTCTACACCAAAGATCAGAAGACAGTGCTATGTAAAATAACAAAGAGAAGGGGCAAAATGTATTCTCAGGCACCAAGCCCACCCAGAACAAATGCAGGAGACAATAGCATAGAAGAAACTGGAAATCACACACCTGAAATCTCTGAAATAATAGCGTCTGAAGTTAAAAAAAAAAAAAACTGTAAAAAAAAAAATCCCCCCAAAAACCCATTCTTAGGGCCAGGGAGATGGCTCAGTAGAATAAGCACTTCCCTGGCAAGCGCAAGGACCTTAGTTCAATCCCTGGTTCCGCCAAAAAAATAAAAAATAAAAAATAAACAACTGTAGAAAGGTATACAGGAAATGAGATCAGAAATAATTTCTGAAGTAAAAAAAAGAAATAACTATAATGAAAGAAATACTAAGTGTTTCTAAAGAACACACTAATAAAAAAATAGAGGAAAATAGAAAAATGATGGAATCCTTGAATGAGCAATATAGGAAAAGAAATAGAATGCATGAAGCAGATCCAAAGTGTTATCCAGGAAATTAAAACCTCAATCACAAGCTGGTAAAACCGTCTGAATGAAAGTGAAAACAGATTTCAGATCTTGAAGATGATGGTGCAGCTAGTGAAAAAGTAAGAAAAGATCTCTTAAAAACAACTAGGATGCAGGAAAAAATAATTCAACATCTGCAAGATGATACAAAGATGAACAACGTGAGACTAATAGGCATCAATCAGAAAGAAGGCGTCAACAGAAATGGTATAAAAAGAATATGGGCAGAAGTAACAGCAGAAAACTTCCCAAATATGGGGAAACTATCTGACATTCAGTAACCAAAGCATTCAGAACTCCAAATAACATCAACCCAATTGAAAACACACCCAGACATATAATAATTGAGATTCCAGAAATTCAGCACAGGAACATTATACTAAATGTGCTAAAGAAAAGAAACATCACACTTAAAGGAAAACCTATCAGAATAACAGCAGATTTCTCTTCACAAACCATGAAGCAGGAACATGGAGCAAAGTATTACAAGTCTTGCAAGAAAACAAATTCCAATCAGAATTATGTACTCTGCAAAACTCTCAAGTTTAATGGAGAAGTGAAATACTTCAATGACAAAGAACAACTAAAGGATTTCATGAAGACAAAGCCAACCCTACATAGACTACTAAAAGATACTCTAGAGAGGGATCAAAATGACCACCACTCAATGAATGAGAATGGAAAGAACCCACCAAATAGGGCAAACAATTACACACAGGAGAAAAAGAGGTATACAACAGCAGTCTTTCAATTATTCTTTTGTATACAGTAGGAAAATATCTCCATCAGCATACTCTACAAATAGACTTCTCCTGCACTCTACAGGTCATGATTCTGTCCAGATCTACAGGGTAAATATCAAGGAAATAGCAGTGGCTCATGGATACCAGTAAGTATCATGGATACTGTACACGTCTACCACATACTAGAACTTTATGCGATATTTTATCCTCAAACGGTTAGAACTGCTGGTCATGTATTTGCCATTCCAGTACTTATGTTATTTTTTATTCTTAGTAATTCTTTAGTATCATGAAAACTTTTTCTTAGTTCAATTGTTGTGAAATATTCAATTTTAATGAATATTTAATTAATTTTCTGAATATTATTTAATCTTAATTTTTGTCTTAAGATTTATACTGCTTCTTTGACTTACAACTTACATATAGGACATGGTATATTTTCTCCTAGTATTAGAAACTTTAAAAAGTACATTTCCATTTTCCACTAAAAATGCTCATTTATAATTAGAAAAGTCTTACTATAAAAAATTTAAACACACACGTGTGCATGCATGTGGACACACACACACACACACACACACACACACACACACATAGACTTCTCCTGCACTCTACAGGTCATGATTCTGTCCAGATCTACAGGGTAAATATCAAGGAAATAGCAGTGGCTCATGGATACCAGTAAGCATCATGGATACTGTACACATCCACCACATACTAGAACTTTATGTGATAAAGTTTTTACTATATAAAGGACAGTGACTCCTTTATATAGTAAATAGTATATAATTTCCTTTCCAAGAACAAAAGGGAACAAATGTCAGCTATCCAACAGACCATGAACCATGTATTAAAAGCATGTCCTCAATAATTTTTTTTCCACAACCACAACAGTGAAGGCTGATAACAGTTCATATGTAGACTGGTCACTGAAGAAAATAATAATGTTTTCTACTTATTTCTATTAACAATCTAAAGAAAACAAAACATTAGAGAAAGAAACAAGGTATGAAAGACAATGGAGCTCAATAGTTGTCTTGTGTAATAAAAGATTCCAAGTTTGACAGAGAAATTTAAGCTCAAAAAGAAAGTAAATTAGACTAGAATATTGAAAGATTCTCTATTTGATACTTTTAGTAAGAGTTTTTTTTATATAGATAAAATTGTGAACTATGAGAATCTTACTGCTATTTTCTGCTTCAACTATCTGTTAAGACATTATAAGAATTTTATGAAAGACCACATATGAGACAAAAATAATCACACTAATCACAGTACTTTCTAGATTCATCAATAAAGTTGAAAATATTTCCCAACTCACTGAATCTGGCTGGCCCTGTGAAGACGGCCCCACAGAAATGATTGAGAGGCCTTGCAAACCACTCTTGTTGCTCTTATACCCTTGCAGCCATCATGTTGAAAAACACAACACAACACAACAAAAATAGGAATAAGTGGGTCTTAAGGTACAGGGATATCTGGACAAATATTATTCTGGGTGTGTATGAGGGTATTTTCCCATGAGACAAACACCAGTAGTCTGATTTAGATTCCCTCTAAAGTGGTAGGCATCATCCCATCAACTACAAGACCTAAAGAAGGCCTGGGATATAGCTCAGCTACAGAACGCCAGCCTGGTAAACAGCAAATATGAGGCTCCGAGTTTGATTCCCTGTACCAATAAATAAGTAAATAAATAAATAAATAAATAAGCAAGCAAGCAACAAGGCCAAGTGGGAATTCAACACATCCACTACATTGAACTGGGACCACAGTACTTTCCATCTTCACACTCAAACTTCAGCTCTTCTTTGGTCATATGCCTATTTTTCATCTGGAATTTACAGACTTTCCTGATTCTCAGGATTTCAATCTTGAACCGGAACTACACCATTACCTCTTCTGGATCTCCAGCTTACTTACTCCTGATCATGAGATTTCTCAGCCTTCAGAGTCAAATGTACCAATTTCTTACAATAAACATTCTCTATAATAAGTGCTCTCTTGCTCTTATTCTGTCTCTCCATATACACAGTTAGAACTCATCTGGTTCTCTGATCAACCAAGACGAACACATATGCTAGGCTTGCCTGCTGGAGGATGAGACAGCTTTGATCCAATTTCCTGATAACTCAGCTAAACACCAGAAATGCATATGGGGCCGACCTACATCCTTCAGAATCCAGTCAATTCACCAGCTGACCAAGGATGAGTGAACAAGTACAGATACAGCTCCGCCCAAAGCTAATGAACACATATCTGAGTACACAGCCACAAAATCATGAGTACATATTCACAAAATTCTAAGAGTAATGGGGCTGGGGTAGCTCAGTGGACTAAGTGCCTGCCTGACAAGGTTTGATCCCTGGTACTACATGCCATGCTGGCCCAGGGCACTGATGCGGTCACTGAAACCAGGCATAGTGGCACATGCCTGTAATTCCAGCACTGGGGAGGCTGAAACAGGAGGATCACTATAATTCTGAGCTCCATAGTGAAACATTGTACCAAATAAATAAATAAACAAACCTAAGATTTTAAAAAGTAGTAAGTTATAGCTTTTCAAAGCCCCTAATGTTTCAGAGTAACTTTTAAACAGCAAAGACTTCTTAAGCAAAAACTGGTACAGTTATGCTTTAATTAAAACTAATTATGGAATACAGTTTAGCTAAAACAAGCACAATCAGAAGAAAATTAAATTTCACATTGTGTAATAAGCTTCATGGGCATTTATAGTACAGAATAGGACAGGAAAAAAGTAGGAAGTCAAATTACAAGAGTTATGGTTATCCAAGAGGGTAAAATTATGGAAGGAGAGTCCACCTTTAGGCAAGCAAAATTCAAACTGATATGACATTATAACCTCTGAAGTGGAAAAAAGGTGTAAGCTAGACTAGGAGGGAAAAAATCCAAAGAACAATGAAGAATTTTCTCAACCCTACTTCAAAAGATTTCATAGGAAATGAAGATGAAATAATTAATGTAGTATCAATAGTAAATAAACTAGAATGATAATGAGTAAGAAAATGCTACAGTTGACTAGACAATGAACTATAATAATATGATTAGTTATGCATTAAAATCACTTGAGGAACTTATGAAAATATACATATTTCGAGGACTTTTTCACAGATTGATTCAGTAAGTTTGGAGTTAGTCTTAAGTTATCCCAAGTTTTTAATAAGCAGAGCAGGTGATGCCCAGTTTAGAAAAATCACAGGTGTAAAATATTTCACATTATCCTTAAAATACATAAGTTAACAAAGGAAAACTTCAGTACTTGTATACAAAAATATTAAACTTTTATTTTTGAAAAACATTCCATCAGTTTTTCAGCTACATGTATTTATGGAATTATTCATCTATGTACACTCATATACATTGCTCTTACCTTAATGAAGACTAAATATACTTTCATTGTTTTAAATTGAAGTATTCTATCAGCTATAAGGAATATAATAAGATATCTTGGTCTATACCCAGAAGCTTCTTTAGTAACAATCAATACATATTTGGCAATGTAACACTTGCTACATCTACTCTGATGTTTACATTTGCTTTTTTAAAAAGGCTTAATGTTTATCTTTCAATTTTGTCAATATATATAGGTATGGTAAAATTTTGAAACGAGGCACTTACTTTATTGCTTTTGCTGTCAGGATGAGGTGGTGAATCAAAGTTTATTATGGCATGTAGAATATCATGTGTTAGATTACTGAGATGTAATAATGGATTGGCAACAACTGTTTTGGCACTGGCTGTACAAGCAAAGAGGAGAGGCACTGAGGTTTGTTCTGACAGTGGGGTAGGAAGTAACAGTTCTGATGTTTCCTTAAATAGAGGAGGAGAAAAGGTTAATCAGCTATTTACAGTTGTAATCCATCATTTAAGTAATGGAGGGCATGCTCTAAAAAATTTCAGAGCAATAAATAATAAAAGCATAACAGAAACTTAAGGGAGTTAGAAGGGACCTGAGAAGGTCAACATTCAAGCAACCGATTTTAAAAATGATGATACACTATCCCTTATAATAAAGAAAAACTTCACCTACATGCAATTCATGTTAGGACTATAAAGTACAATAAGCAGATCATAAATAGCCTGATACAGAACTGTCCTCCAATTGCAATATATACATAGCTCTAAAAATTAATAAAACATTTCTTAAACCAACTATAATGAAGAAAATCAAGTTTTAATATTCAAAACAAAAAAATGCAACTTGAAAAGCTGTTTCAGCTATGTACTATTTTTAATAATTAAAAAGACATACCTGCTGTGATTCTTGTAAAAGCAAAATCAATTCCATTCGTACAGATGCAAGGCCTCCACCATGGGAACCATGAAGTATGCAATAACTAAGAAACATTCTCAATAGGGACTGATATTTCAAGAGCCATTGTCTTTTTTCCTGAAAGATTTCTCTCTGCTGTTTTCCTTTTGTGTGGTGATAGAAATCATCAACATTCTCATTCGATCCAAATTCATCCCCACTTTTGCCATGTGTGGCCTGTTCTTCAGCATCTGGACAAAAGTCACAGGTCCTTTGAAGAGCTATCACCTCTTTTTCAAGCCAGTGGTACAGTTGGTAACGCAACTTGCCACCGTCTATTTCATAGCCAGTAGATAAAGTACGTAGTTCTACTGTGAGAATCTTTAAACATGCTCTGAACTTCAATTGCACAGCAATTATATCTTCTACTGGATTTAAAATGTCACTTTCATCTAGTGTGATGAAAGGTTCAGTATAATTACTTATTTCATCTAACTTTTTATCTATTTTTCTTGGTAAAGATTTTAGTTCTTTCATTGAAATAGGAAGATCTTCATTTTCTTCATTATCACTATCCCATTTTAACTCTAAAGAATCATCTTGAAATACTATACTTGGTTGGCTCCAGTCAAAAGAAAGGGTAGAATTTGATTGCTTCTCTGAGGAACCCTCGGAAGAAGATTCAAAACCATTCATAAAAGACTGTGACCAATCAACAGCAGAGGACTTATCTTCCCTTGTATCCAATTTTAGTGGAGAAGCATCTTTACTAGTATCCAGAAAACTAGATGCTCTACAAAGAGGTTTGGTTTTCTTGATGACTTTGGGCATCTTCAATAATACTTCCAAAGCCAACATGGGGCAGCCAGCTTTTAGATGAGCACTAGCAGTAGTAAAAAATAATCTTCTTTCACTTAAGTTAATTGTTCCTGCCAGTCCACTTTTTCCTGTTAAGCTCATGTGTGTGGAAAATGTATCAGATGATCCAAAATGACGTCTCAGTAAAAGAGGATGAGTTCGTAGATAATTGTAAAAATTAAAAACTGCAGGACTACAAGTTGACATCATGACTTGATCTGAAAATAAATTTATTTTAGGAGGCAAGAAAAGTTACTCAAGAGCTATATTGGGAGTATCTTTGTATTATAGTTTCTCTACAGTAGCATCTATCTGCCTCATCTTTTGATAAAATTGTATTAACAGATCACATTAATGTATGGTATTGGATAAGATATTTGTAATAAAAATGCTCTGACACAATAGAAAACAAAGGTTATACTGCTTTCCTATTGAAAAAACCTCTTCAGATAACACATCCAATTCTTTTTCTCACATTTTTGGAACTGCTTCCTTCCTCTGCTTTGCTAGTTCTCCTTACCTTCTCTACTTTTTAGTGCTGACAGCTCAGTTCTTGACTTCTTTTCCACCTATACATCCTAAGCTGAAGTCACATGAACTGCTTTAAACTGTGTGTATGAATCTTTCACATCTCTATCTTCAGTCTCAAATTCACTTTAAATTTTTAAATCCTAATGTCCAAAGGTACATATTTTATTTTCATTTAGATTAATAGTCTTTCCTCTGGGCCTTTTTAGTGTGCCTTTAGCACAGACCATTTTTTTTACCTAGATAACAATGATTAACTTGCTCATTTCAACTAGTTCTATGCTGAAAGGTCATCTTATCACTGAAGAATTCTTGTATTTTCTGAGCTAGGGTCTCACTAAACAATTCATGCTGGCCTTGAACTCACTTTGTAGCCCAGGCTGGCCTCAAACTTGCAGTGATCCTCCTGCCTCAGCCTCCAGAGTGATGGGATTACGGGAGTGTGCCACCACACCCTGCTCCATGAAGAATTCTTGACCCAAGAATTATTGCTTAATATATCAACCACAATAAATTCAATTTAAGATAGAAGAACTAGCTCTATATCAGTACTTTTAAAAAATATTTATAAGCAAATGTGGATAACATATATTTTCAGTAAATCTATTTCATAAAAGCAAAATCCAAAGGGTTTTCAATGGTTTTATCATTTAAAAACAATGAGCAAGATTGAATACAAATCACTGTCTCCCCAACAATTCAACAATTCAATCTGTATTAGACTCAACATTGACTGAATTTAATGTTTTATAGATTCAACACCCATGGTTTGCACAGCAAGGAAATACTAGCAACACTCTTAGCCATTAATGTGTTAGAAGTGCAGCTTACCGTCATCTTCTCTGACAGGTTGCTTTATTAATGTTTCCAGAGCACCACTATAATCTTCCAAAATCCAATATGCCATACTCCGAAGGAAAGGATCATAATGCATATTTATGCTCAATGAACTGGGTGCACTGACAGGAGAATCAATTCCCAGAACTTTTTTACATAAAATAGATTTGTATGTTGCAGATGTATCAAATTCAGACTCATAGAGTCTTGCTATTACCAGAGCCAACTGAATGTCATTCAGTTTCTCAAGGCATACCTTAAAAAAATATTGTTTATAAATAAGCAGAGGCAACTTCCATTTTAGGGCAAATTCAACGCACTAACAACTCTAAAATAGGCTTAGTTTCCAAAATGACCAAAAAGAATATATATGTATCACTTGCATTAAGAAATCTACTTAACAACAATTGCTAATATTTCCAAGTCTAATTGCTAGTATTAAGTATATATTTGTTAAAAGACATAGCCTGATTTTTAAAATGCCAGATTCTTACCGTGTTAATTTGTTACATATTTTGTTTTATTCTCGAATCTTTACTTTTCTCCACCCCAGCAGATTATGTTTCCCAAGTAAAAAATGTTCTGAGTTAATTTATGTCACTCTGAGCAAAAGGGCAATTAAAGATAGAAATATTGTGTCTTAAATATTGGTAACCTTTAAAGTTTCCTGAGAAATAATGAAGAATTTTCTAAGATTTATTGACTAAGACAAACATAAGCACACATTCACATTATGTCTAAATTGACAGAATAGACCTCTAAATTTTTTTTATCTGTTCATGAATATTTTTAAGACTGAAAAGTACTAATTAGACTACCAACCAATTAAACATCCTGATTTATCCTAATTTTGTTATAAAATTATTGAAGCTAAATGATAAAAACTTTGAAACTATTATTAAATATTATTGGCTACTTCAGACTTTTAGCCTGTGTTATTTTCACTAAAGTTAAAGTTTAAAAACTAAAAATTTAAGATAAATATTAAGAGATTAATTAGAATGAATGATGGTGCTATTTTTTTCTGTTTTAAGTTTCATTACCTCAATTGCATCTCCGAGGCAACCAGCTAAAAGAAAAAATGCTGCAGAATGTTCAAATCTTTGTTTGCCGAGCAAAGAAAAAGCATTCTTTAAAGCTGCTTTACGCCATCTCTCCTCCTCAAAATTGTGTCCAAAAAACTGTGTCATTCTGGTGTCTTTTTGAGATCTATAATGTAAAGTATGAAAATTTTGGAATATAATATTCCCACATTGGAATTAATCTTCTAAAGTTAGGCCTAAACTAGGAATCAATAGAAATATTTGCTAATTCAAAATTATTGCACTCCTTTATCTAGCAAAAAAATTAATAAACAGTTGTTTTTCCATTAAATTTGAGATCACTTAACAATTTTCTTTCTTTCTTTTCTTTTGTTTTTTTTTTTTTTTTTTTTTTTTTTTTTGGCGGAACCAGGGATTGAACTCAGGCCCTTGTGCTTCTTCTACTGAGTTATCTCCCCAGCCCCTTTTCTTTCTTTCCTTTCCTTTTCTTTTCTTTCTTTTTTTTTTCTTTCCTTCTTGCTTGCTTTCTTGCTTTCTTTCTTTCTCTGTGGCCCATCCTGGGGTTGGGGCTGGCATGGTACGTGGTACCAGGGATTAAACCTTGGTCTCTGCACTCTTGCCTAAGCTTGCATAAGCAGGCACTTTAGACTGCTGAGCTATCTTGCCAGCCCAACAATTTTCTATCAAATTATGAAGAAAACTACATGAGCAATACTCTCAAAAATTCTTTACATCCATGCAAAGTAGCATAATTATGTTAATGTGAAATAATTTATATTAACTTCTATGCTCCTTTACCATTTCTTTTTTTTTTTTTTTTTTTTAAAAAAAAGACCATTTCATATAATTTTATATGTAAAAGGTTCTCAGGAAAAGCAACACATGTGCAGAGCTCCCAAAGTACCAGAGAGGTGGCCCTTCACGCTTCCTTTCTGCAGTGGGAAAACTAAACAGAGAACGGGAAATATGATTCCATTTTGTTCTTAACTGTTTCCACCTATGCAATCAGTTTTTCAAGTAGAGTTTCTATTTCTTTGCTGGTATTTTTGTTTTTTCTCCAATGTGGAAATCAGGCTTCTCAGTCCAGCTTTGACTTTATTTGCAACTTCTTGGTCAGTACTCTGTAGAAGGCTGGAAAGAATAGCAGTACTCTGATTTATACTGGCCCAGGATTTCAGGTTCTTCATGCCAACATGCTCTACGAGCAAAACAACCTTCTCTTCCATCTTCCTTCATCTTTTCATCTTGCTCTATTAGCCATTTCAAAATAAGATGTCCTGCAGGATGTTCTGCAACATGAAGCTTTCCATCCTGGCTCCTAGGGTGTAGTTCCGCTGCTGCCAGGCTGGCAATGGCATTCACAGCAGGCTGGATGTTTCCAATGGTAGATCTCAGGATGTCAGACACCAGCACACATACAGATTTATCGAGCACCATCTCTTGAGCATTTCTTTGTAAACAGTTTAATAAAGCTGGAGAAATAGATTCTAAGAGCTCAAGATAGCAGATCTCTGTGTTTTTCTTACTCTGTGCATTTCTGTCCTCTTTTTGCAGAACTTCAATGATCTCTCCTACTGTATGCGCAGGGTCTCTGGAGCTTAGTAAATACAATAAGACCTTCCTTCCATATCTGTCTTTTACTATGTTAGACAAGGAATTGATAATTTCTGACATGATTATTTGCTTCACATGCTTAGTATCATCAATATAATCAAATACTGCCAGCAAAACCAAATGACAGTACTGGCCGTTAGCCACTTTTTCAACATACGTCTTCATTGTTTTCACAATTACTTTTTTGTCCTTGGGTGTGCCGTGCCACAAGCAGTGTATGGCCACTTGGGCACTGTCGTGTGTGGGCCAGGTATACCACCGCCTCACGGATGGCTTCAATCAGCTCTGATCTGAGTTTTGGGGTTGCACAGGTAAAAAAAAGTCCAAGAATACTTAATGGACTAATGAGTGCTTAATCACAGCTTCCTTTTGAGCCATTGGAGTTAGAATCTGTTTCATTTCATCCATAGTAAGTTCTAATTTTTCAGGCTGTACCTCTTAATACCTTGTCCAGAGTTGGGTGTTCTGTAGACTTATAAAGCTGAAACGTACTCCCATAGAGCTTCTTGGTCAGCATGTTCTTCTCCTCCAGAATGGCCTTGTCATCGTATGCCTATTCCATGATGGCTGAGGTTTCCGCATCCCACATCTTCCTCACATAGCCTTTAAAAATTCTGATTATCTCTGCAATCTGTGGTTTACTTCCATAATGAGAAATTTCTTAACAACATTTCTGGAATATTTGGTTTTATTTAGTTCAATCAAATCATCTCGCAATTCTTCAAAAGCCTGTTTTCTCTGTTCTTCATTGCCATGCTGGTACAGCCCTGGATCACACAAGAGGAATCATGTACAAATGCAATAGTTTTAATTTTCCCTTGAATCAACTTTTGCAAATTAGTCATAAACTTCACTCATTTTTGTCATAATCCTTACTTATCTTCCAAATCTGTTTTGCTTGAACAACAATGTCATAGTTGGTTTTGTCACTGAGCTGCCTGCTCTGCTTTAGCTCTTTCTTCTTTCTGAAGTCATCCCATTTCGGTTTCTTGGATGATGATTCATCACTTTTACCATCTGGCTGGAAGTTTCTCTTTGTTGAATGTATTTGTTTGCTGGAATTTGCTCTCCGGTCCTTTGTCCCATTGTTGCTTATTCTTGAATTGTTTCACATCCCTTTTCCCAGGTTTTGTGGAACTTTTCTCAAAATTCTTAGACATAACTTTAGGTCCCCTCTCCTTAACAACTTTTTTAGGGAATATCTCTGAAGAACTAGAATCACTGTTTTTCTGAAATTTGCTTTTTTCTTGTGAAGCCATTATGCTCCTTACTGTGAGGTTTTTTTTCCTTTTGACTTCCATCATAGCAACTCTACCTTGCGTCTGGATCCCAGAGTGCAGGCACCACAGCACTCAGAGCCAGGTGGTCATAAGAGGTCACAGCTCTGCTCTCTTCTCCAGGCTTCTGTCATTTCAAACTCAGCAGCCCTCGCCACCTCTCCAAGAGACCTTCCCAACTCCAGCACCTGGCAGTGAGGAGCCCTTTCCAGGCGCAATTCCTTTACCATTTAAACTTCATCAATAGTTTTTCTTTTCTATGTAGCTGGGAATGACTTTGGTGATCAAAATCTAAGGCCTCTGTCTTTATCGAAGACAATCCTGAAAGAACTAGTCTTTCAGAAATCTGATTTGATACTGATTTTCTCCCAAAGGCTCATGAAGAGTACCTGCAACTAAAATCAACATAAATGATGAACTACTTATGGTAATTATGTTCACCAAATCCTGAGAGAGAAAGAGACAAAAAAGTTCTGTGTGAATTCACCTCAGGAGTGAAGTAAGTGTCCACAGGAGGTAGACAATTCTGACAGCTAAAGCCTGGTCTATGAGCTTTCAATATTGCCAAGAGTAGAAATTTGTTCTAGACTGTCAATTCACCTTCTTTTCCATCCCAAATATAAAGTTTTAGTGCAGTGATCTTTGTACTACAGAAGTATTTGAGAAGTTCTTGAAGTAAGCAAAACTACATGTTTAAACCGATAAACCCCCAAATCTAAATGATCTCTAAGCTTTTTTCCTGTAAGAATTTATATGAATTAACATCAATAAAAACAAATCTTTATGTATTTACTTATGAAAAGTCTTAGACTTTGAAGCAAAAGATATTTTACTTACCTATATAACCCCCAAATCACAGCTTTCTTTTTCATTGCAAGGTAAAAAATGGCAGCATCCAAAGGATCACTCTTTCTATAAAATGCTGCTTTGGCCACCTAAAATTAATCAGAAGAATACTATGAAACAAATGGGCTGACTACAAGTTTAGGAATTATATAAATTTTTAAAAATTATATTAATGTACTTCGAAATACATTGTGAAGATTATTCAGAATAAAAATGAATCATTAATGTCAGAAGATCTGCAGAAAGACATTTAAATATCCAAAATACATCAGTCCATTTTTTACATCAAACCAATCATGCTTACTTTTTCCATGCATTTGCGTAAGATACGAGTATTCCGGACCCACCACCCCACTCCCATAGCTTTCAGTTCGGACCAAGTGGGGTCATCCTTCTGCAGTGCTGGCAACATGCTCAGCAGCTCTTCTTCTGCCACTGAGTGAAATGCCCAAGCAAAATGACTAGTAGACAGGCCTAAAACAAAGTCAAAAATAATGGTAAGACATATGAATATATTATCAGAAAGATTATAAAAAATGTAAATGTTTGTAAGATTTGTACTCACACTTCATTTTTAAGATTGATGGGAAGTATGGGTTATTTTTATTCTTGGCTCTCCAAACAACTCACCACTCCTAACAATTCACTACTCCAATGCACATAGGCTTTCCATAATTAATTTCATACAATTAATGCTTTTGTATACATTTATTTGAATGAAATAAATGTAAAAGTCTTTATGGAAAATGCTATAATGCTGCAGTATTTTTGTTGCCTAGGAACAGTATGATCCATGACTCTAGAAAATGAAAAATACCTGAAGCAATGTTCTATATAGGTATGCTTTACCCCTCAAAACTGCTTCTCATTTTTTTTCCATAAATTTATTGAGAAACAAATAGCAATGAGACAGTTTCAAACCAAAATGGTAGGACAGTTTCAATAATTAACACATTGTATACGTTCTTCCTAGTGGTTAATTGCTATACAAGATGCATACATGATATCCTACTTACAAACACCATTAGAACAAATCCCTCTATTCATTAAGAGAATGTAACTGTATATTGATTCTAGCCATTTGAATACACAGATACAAAATGGACATTCATCTGCATCCCCTTTTTGTTGCTAAGTTCCGTTGCTTCTCATTTTTTGTTGGTCAACATTCATCATATATATTTAATTCAATGGAATTTATAAACATCAGGCAAACTGTATAGCTTAGTGAACTAACAAGCATAGCACTGCAAAATCTCTAGAATCACAATGCATGAGAAATTTTAGTTCTACCACAAACTATATAAACTTAGGTAAGTTAGATTCTTAATGCCTCAACTTCATTTAAAATATGAATGATTTTAGAACTATCAAATGACATAGTTTAAAAGATCAAATGACATAATACAGTCAAAGAATTTAGAATGTAAATTCTAAATATAGAATATAGAACCTGGTCTATAATTATTTTTTTTCTTTTCAAAGTTTTATTGATAAACATATAGCAATGAGACAGTTTCAAATCAAATTGAAAGTACAGTTTCAACAAATAATACACTGCATATATTCTTTTTAGTGGTTAACTGCTGTACAAGATGCAGACTTGTGATCCTA